TATATATGGGAAGCAGACCACATACCCAAAGCAGCTACTCAGCTGCTTGTGGTAGATCCCACCATGGAGTTGATTGCCAGTCTCATCATGGGGAAAAACTACCACCAGCTGCCCAGCCACTCAACCAGGCCCAGCCAAGTTGACACACAAACATAACCACCACACCTGGGTGTTGCAAACGGTTAACATGCTTGGCTTCTAATGGAAAGGTTGGCAGTTCGAGTCCACCCAGAGAAGCCTAGGAACAAAGGCCTGGAAAGATGAGCCTTTGAAACAGTATGGAGCACAGCTCTGCTCTGACACACGTGGCGCCATGAGTCGGAGTCGACGCCACAGCATCTGGCTGTTGGGTGCTTTCGGACAGAGGAAGGGACGGTCTTCTCCCTGAGTCCAAGGCTTCTGTGGAGAACTGCTGTCGGCTATGGCTTCTCTTCCTTTCTATCTGTTCACACATATATACACATGTTTATCCTGGGCTTCCTCACGACCATGGTGTTTGTTGGAGCTGATCCATACTGTTCCATTGCCTTGGTCACAACCCGTAGCTGCCTAGGGAAGCCAAAGGGATGAGTGTCTAGAGACAGGAAGATACACATTTCTGTCTGAAGCTGTGATCCTGTGGTTCTTGACTCTTTTCAGTTTCTGGACCCCTTTGAAGAGCTGTGAAAATTGTAGATACCCCCTCTCCCTAGAAAGATAGACATAGGCTTTCACCCCACAATTTTGTATGTAATTTCAGATCTTTCTTGGACTCCAAGTTAAGAGCACCTGCCATCAGGAGTGAGGCCTCACAGGCTATTTTAAATTCATCAGAAAGGAAGGGCATGTTATATTGCTAGTGGTTGACTGACTTTTCAGTCCCTGTGTTTGTGTTCATTAGTGTGAGCTGGGAATTTTCATACTGGAATCCTAGTGGGAGACCACGTGATGGCATGTAACCAACTCAGACTTTTCTTTCTAGTAGCAGCTCCCCTTTCAGAGTTCCTAACCTTTGAGATTCTGATGAAAACTAATAACCCTTTCCTCAAAAAAATGCACAGCCCCAGAATTGTGAGCTCAACTTCAGGGGGCCTCTTGGTCCCCAGAAGCCATTAAATATATTCCCTAGAGCTCCATGGACCCTAGTAAGTCTCCTGGTCTTAAAGTAAGTTAAGAAAAATGAGACTAAAATCATTAAAACCTATCTGTTGTGGGGAGCATTTGTGGTTCAGTGGTAGAGTTCTCACGTTTCAGGTGGGAAACTGGAGTTCAATTCCCAGCCAGTGTATCTCATGTACCTGTCAGTGGAGGCTTAGATATGACACCAAAAGCACAAGTAACAGAAGACAAAATAGGTAAGTTGGACTTCATAAAAAACAAGAAAAGAAACCATCTTTTACACATAAAATGTAGACTAAAGAATCAATACACAAAAGTTATGTAATTACACCTTGCCTGGTTTTAGGGGAAGCAAATGAAATATGCTACTTTAAAGAATTAAAATGCATTCAGGATCCTCAGTTTCCAGGAAATCAGCAGTGGATGGAGAAAGTCCGGTGAATGAGTCCACAATAAGCTTGATGCTTTTCTTTGTGCTTTCCCCTCCCCCAACTATCCCGACATTAATTTTGAGATAGATCATATCATCTCCATTCATTCTACCTTTCAATGAACTTGAATAGGTTTTATTTTGCCTCTGTGGTCATTGGGTCTAACTGTTTAGTAAGGAATACTTTTTCATCTAATTGGGATAGAAAGAACATATAAATGGAATTCATGACCTATTTCGTCAGATTCTAAAAATGAAAAAAAAAAAAAAGTAACTGGGAATGAACAATTTCATGTGCTTAACTTGGTCATTGAGTTCTGGAAAAATAATTGTAGTGTTTTGATGTGCTTAATCTAGTAGTCCAAGTCTCAGAAGTTTTAAAACTAGCTTTAAAATCGTTTTCCACATAACTGCATATGCTGGTGGTAGATTGAGGAAAAGGTATGGGGCTAAGTGGGAGGGTGGGGGCTGAAAGGGAAAGAGTTGCTAGGTGTTCAGAAATCCTAGTGGAGTTGCTTTGTTTTTCTTCCTCCATTTTTCATGAATCATCGGTTTTGTTTTGTACTTGGTTTTTAGCTGGAAAATTTTTACAAGATCAGCAGCTATAAAAAGCAATTACGCCTTAGTCTATTTTTTGTTTAACTTTTAGATGGACTTACGGATTCATCTAGGCCAAGCAATCCATTTGCTGCTCAACCCTGGCATAGTTGTCATAAGCTCATTTATGTACGACCAAACTCTAAAACTGGTGTTCCTGTTGGACATTGGCCAATTCCAGAATCTTTCTGGCCAGATCAGAATTTACCTTCACTAGTAAGTATCATAAAACAAAAGGTAAACATCATTTTGTATTTTCAATTTGCTGATTACAGTGAACCTTTTAAAGTAACTTCCAGGCCTTTAAGTCATGGCACGGGCAAATAAGTCTCCTCTCCCTTGCTCATGGCTAATAACAAGACAGGACTGCCTTCTATCCTGGTACTTTTCATTCTTACTTTCAGTCACCCTTGCCGTTTGAACTGACCCCTTTGCATGTCAAACCATTGTTAGGTTTGATGCTGTTATAATCTGTGGCTTGGTTTTGCAAATCATCTGACTTGATTTACACAGTAAACATGGTGTCTGAAAAGTACTGGCAATGATTTGCATGTACGACCTCTGAGAATTAGGACCTGCCTTTATACCTTGTATAGGTTCTAAGAAACATATTCAAAACAGAAGTCATGCTACTTCTTCTTAGGGAGTCACCTTCATCTGACACTTGATAGAACTTTGTGGGCCCACTTTTCATCTTTTTGTAACCAGTGGACCGCTGTACCATAGCAATGCACCTTTCAATAATGGGTAACTAAGCAACGTTGAAATAAATGATCCTGATAGCAGCACCATACTGGAGATGGCACTGCCACTTTCACCTTGACTCGCTGGATGTGTGAACAGTCCCCTTTGCTGACTTGGAACATCCTCCTTGGACTGTTCTGTAAAGGAAAAATAAACTTCGATTGTGTTTGAAAAATGAAAAATGATCCCGAAGCAAGGACTTAAAGAGCCCTGGTGGTGCAAGGGTTAAATGCTCAGCTGCTAACCAAAAGGTTGGCGGTTCAAACCCATCAGCGACTCTACAGGGAAAAAAAGCCCTGGCAACCTGCTTCCATAAACATTACAGCCTAGCAAACATTATGGGACAGTTCTACTCCCACATGGAGTTGCCAAGAGTTGAAATTGACCTGACAGCACACAACAACAATACAACAAAAATGTGTCTTTTCTTCACGTGTTTTGTAGAAGAGGATTTGATATTATAGGAGCTCCTAATAGCAGATGAATTGCCTTTTCTGAAACCCACTCTCTCTGTCCCCACCCAATAGAAAGAAGCCTGAGTAGTCTCTCTTGTATGGGGTGGAGAGGCAGATAGCTCACCACTCCTCTAGTTTCATGCCTTCTGTCTAAGTTGTAGACATTTCAGATGGTGAACTGCATTTTCTTCTGGATTGCTGTCTTTGCGTGCCTGTGGCACAGTGCCTAAGGCACTTGCTAACCAGAAGGTTGGTGGTTCAAACCCACCAGCCGTTCTGCAAAAGGAAGATTGAGGCCATCTACTTCCATAGAGATTTACCACCTTGGAAACCCAATGTGGGATGCTGCAGGTCAGAACTGACTCGATGGCAGTGAGTTTGGTTTTTGGTTTTGGCCTGCTTTCAGGAAGAGTGGCCCTGAAAGATCTGAAAGTAAGACTGGAGAGCTGTTTCAGCCCTTCCTGTGGGTGAGGGTAACTCGCCCTGTCCTTCTCTCAGGGCTCCAGGGTGTCAATCCTGTGGAGTCTCAGTGCCTGGTTACTCTTAGCCCCTCCAACACTCAGAGTAAATGTTTTACTTTTTTTTTTTTTT